CCATCAATCACAACTCATTTTTCGAGCTAAATTCAAGCTCGCCGGTGCTTTATGGGGGTAATCTACAATTTTATTAACACCCATCATTAATAATTATTAAAATTACCACTTCCAATATCTAATTTCATACTTTAACAACTAAATTTCTCAACTACAAGATTAAGCCCACACCCAGTGAGTTCCTTAACTCTCATTAATTTTATTTAACTCTCAACAACTTAAATAATTACTAATATATCATCTAACAACTCAAAATTATCATAAATGTCACAACTTACTCACTTTCAACCCTCAAATTTCAATACTTTAATAACCCAAGCTCTCAAGTCATGAGTTTAATCACCACATTAGATTTATTAAGTCCCGTTAGCTTCAACTAACACTAATAATATTTTTAATCAAACATCAATGGTAGCTGCTTACCTCAACCACTACCATTTATGTCACTTTAGACCATAATTTCGTCCATAATTGAGAGCCCACTCTTATAGATGCATAAAACGAAGGTTAGGTAACTCAAACAACTCTCATTAGTTTCATTTAGACTAATAGATTTGGACTCATAGCCCTAGATTCAAAAATCATCATCTCCCAATCTCAAATCTCATTTTTAAAACGTGTAGAGAGAAGAAGAAGAGATAAGAAAGATTTACCTAGGTAAAATCAAGCTCCAATCACCTCAAAAATACCCACAAGTTGATGCCCTAGCAGAGGAACAACTCTTTTTATCGCCCTCCCTTTGTTTCAAACTCATTTCACCTTGTTCTGGATGTTTTCGTGTTTTTTTAAAAAAAGCTGATTTTGAAAATTATGCTGCAATGTAAATTTTTATGTTGCAACATAATGCATAGTAAATTTATGTTGCAGCATAACACAAAGTGGGCTAAAAATTTAATTTTTGTCTACAATTTGAGTTCAAGAGACTTAATTCACTTTTCAACCCAAGCCAAACTCAATAGTCGTCTCTAACTATTCTCAAATTCATTTATATTTAAATTTACAAATTTACCTTTCATTAGCTTAAGTAATCAAGGGAATAATTTTCAGGATGCTACAACATGTTATTCTTAAGCCCCCATGGTATATTTTTTTGATATGAGGTGCCCTATAGTCTTTATTTATCATTTTGATTGTACTTGACAGAAAGATAAACCAAACCTAATGGAATTAATGTTCTTTCATTGAAATTATTATTGTTCATTATCGCTTTTCATATTTATTTATTTTCTCAGGACAATTAAGTTGTTCACAATGTTACATTATTGAATTTGCATCTTTTATAAGTTAACATGGCTTGTTATATGATATATAATACTTAAAAAAGAGAGAACTTATCATGAGTGTTCTCTTATTTATTTTTTGTATAGGGTATGATGTAGTGTAACATGAGCATGATGTTGTTCTTACTCCTCATAATATATTTTTTTTGATTTAGAGTATTAGAATCAAAGGATGTAAGGATTTTAGCTTAAGATGAAAGGGTTTTGACTTGGATGCAAAAGGTATAGCTTGGATACAAGGCTTCTAGCTTAAGTTGCATGTGTTATGGCTTAGGGTACAAGGGGTATGGCTTGGGTGCAAGGGATCTAGTTTAGGGTGCCAAGCTTCTAGTTTAGTCATTTTCATGTAATTCATAGTCATTTTCATGTAATTCAAGGGTACTAACAGTGGTTTGCTTTTTATGTGTTTGATTTACATGTAATTCATTAAATATTACATGTAAATCATTCCTTAGTTATACTTGCGAGTTTTTTCACATATTGATTTACATGTAACTCATAATTATTTTCATGTAATTTTGGGGCATTGACAGGGTGTACTCTCTATGTGTTTGATTTACATATAATCCTCTAGAAATTACATGTAAATAATTCCTCATGCATGCTCGTGAATTTTTTCCCAAATCAATTTACATGTAATCAAGGATAGTTTACATGTAAATCCGAGGCACTAATAGGGATATCATCTCTGTGTGATTGATTTACCTGTAATTCATTAGAGATTACATGTAATTAAATTTTTCCTTAGGTATACTCGTGAATTTTTCCCCGCATCAATTTATATGTAATTAATGGTAGTTTATATATAAATCTGAGGCAATAATAGGGGCATCATTTCTATATGATTGATTTACATATAATCCATTAAAGATTAAATGTAAATTATTCTTTAGGCATGCTCACAAATTTTTTCTATATTAATTTACATGTTATCCTTAGTCATTTTCATGTAATTCTGGGGGATTGATAGGGATGTATTTTTTGTATATTTGATTTACATAGAATTCACAAGATATTACATGTAATTGTCCAAGTTAAAAGCCTTGCATTCTAAGTCAGAACACTTATACTTTAAGCTAGATCCCTTGTACCCTAAGTTAGACTGTTTGCACCCAAGCTAGAAGCCTTGCAACCCAAGTTAGAAGCCTTGTACCCAAATCATAACCTTTGTATCCAAGGTAGAAGCCTTGCACCCAAGCCAAATCCCTCGCACCCAAGCTAGAGTCCTTGCACCCTAAGTTAAAATCCTTGCACCCTTTAGTTATTAAGTTTACATGTAATCCTTGATGTTTACATGTAATCAAGAGGTGTTGACACTTTTTGATGCTACTTTCCGATGACTTGCCTGCTAGAGCTTCGATAGATGCACTATCACCTATAGGAAGAGCCCCAATGAACTTATTTTGTGCCTTTTTGAAAAAAAAAATTAATTGACATATAGGGACATTCTGGTCATTTTTTCAAATTATTTAATGAATAAAATATTAGCATTGATCTTTCAATTGCATTTCGTCTTTGGAACCAATTTTCCTTTCAATAAGGTCATTTTCACCAATTTTTCCAATTAAAAATTATCAATAATGTCATTCATTTCTTGTGTTAATATTTATATAAAATATTGAGAACCAAATTATTAGCAAACTATGAACAGTGTGGCTTATTTAAGCATCTTATGCTTCACGCAAATGCGCAAGGCTGGCTATAATTTTATGATATTGTGTGTGTGTGTGTGTGTGTGTGGCTGTGTGTGTTTTTTCTCCCTTTATCATGTGAATGTGCATGTATAAATTAAGTTAAATCCAGACCAAGCCCTTACGTTGAAGTCAGGCTAATCATACAAATTTAATTAGGAGACACGTTTTAAAAAGTAATTTTCAGTTCATCGATCTTGCCATATTGGCAATCAATACAAACTATGTGTGTCAAATCTCGTGCAACTTGTAAGATATAAGGGGTTGCCCATAAGTTTGTGTGTAGTATTTTTAGTATTGAAGCATAAAATTAAAGATGACCGCGAAAATATTTAGGAGTTTTGTTCGACCTCGGTTCAAATAAACTAAGCATCTATTGCTTCAACATAACAACAATAATAGTCAGTTCTCGATGAATGATATAAGAGATACTATTGCATAATCTTGTAAATAATATATTTTAGAACAAATTGATTGTCATCAAGTTGTTAAAAAAAACCCATATATCAAATAATTTACAATAGCAAGTCATGCTAATGACAATAACGCTTATTTACTCCGTCGGAGGTCCAGGGTTAATTAAAATTTCTAACCTTCCATTAGTATGGTATTGTCTATTGTGTGCATATGACCTTTCCTGTATGAAAAGGATGTGTGTGAGAGTGTATACAAAAGAGTTAATTTTTAGTTTAGTTTAACTGGATGAAGGAATTGAACCAACTTATTTTAAAATCTTGAGTTGAGTTTTAAAATATACAATTATATTTTTAAAAAAAATGCTAAAAGCATTCCTGAATTGTTGTTAGTAATAACAATCCTACATGATAAGAGTTCAAATTAATCTAAGAGGATAATGGTAATATTTTCAAATTTTTTAGAATATCAGATAATGGAATAAAAAAATGAATGAATAACAAAAAATGAGTTTTACAAAGCTTTGAGTGGGGAGTGAAAAAGCTATGTCCTGGATGAATTCAATTTCATCATCATCATCATTATTAATTTTTGGTTTGAGTTGAGATTGCAGATTGTGATATGGATGGATTTCATTTGATTCATTAAAACCTGCCCACAGCTTGATGGAGAGGGTGATTCCATTCCGTACTTTACTAATATGCTTTTGGCACCTTCCATATGGACCATGTAGAATTCAACAAACACAATAATACCCTCACAACTAGTTGTGTGTTTGATTTAATATCAAGTTTTCAATGCGAAACCAACGAGATTGGTTTCGTTTTGATACGTGCTTCTCACCCCTTAGGTTTTGTAAGTCTTGTTGTATAAATCAAAGACAAACAAACCTAAGCAACTCATAGGCTGATTGATCAGTTTACGTTGATGTGAAATTAAGGCCATATATTCACTGAAATAAAGCTCCCATCACTTTGTACCGCCGGCCGAGAGATTCCCAATGCCATCCATTTTATTCATGCCATATAGCTTTTGCACATAATATTAAAACTGATGTTGATTTTTTTGTCAATCACTATAGATGCATGTACATGCATATTGCAGACAAAGATTACACTTATCTCGAGGAATTTTTTTGGGGACAAATTTATCTCGAGATTCTCATACAATGGTGCAATAACATGGCCGTTTTTCTACCAAAAAAATTAAAGTAAGGGGAGCTCAACTTCTTACTCAAAAACAACGCTTTAATGTACAGATATTACACAATTAAACACTTTATTACCACGTCAACGAATACTATCTAGCTAACACCATCTTCAATGTACATGACCATCAATAGTTTTCTCACTCTTTTTTGTTCAGACGTCCTTAAATCCGCAATGACGTTATTCTGACCGTTTTTCTCATAAACATCTGGCCAGAAAAAGGAAAAAAAAAACATATATTCAAAAAAAGACATGGCATGACAAGGGACGTGACCTATACAAGAGACGTCTGGTTGTCGACTCTGCCATCCAAACGTTTTTTGTGCTCCTGATCTTCATCTTCTCCTTTCATCTGTAAGTTGACTGTAACACAGTAAGGTCGAACTACGAGATATGGCTACGGCGGATGTGGCGGTGCCGGAGCAGGCTGTGGCGAAGCAAAGTAATGAGCTTGAGTGTTGCCCCACGGGACCAGGGTATGCTTCCCCACTCTCCGCCATGTCTGGTCCCAGAGAGACTCTCATCTACGTCGTTGCTCTTTACTCTGGTAACTCCACTTCCACTTCTTTTCTTTTTTCCTTCTCAACTATATTTACCATTGTTCTTTGGTGTTTGCAGAGGAAGCCTTCCGTTCCGTGCTACAAGTACAAGAAACTTCTGAGTACCTTGTATTTGTTACACATACAGATATTTGGGCTTTGTTGATTTTTTTTTTTTAATTTGCCGTCGCGCTTCTTGTCATTGATTTTTGTGACGCTCACTCGGCCTAAGGATTTTGTAATGGAATTCCACGGAGGGTTGGAGTGGAGCTATCATCAGAACTCATCATATTTATGCATGTTGCAGAAGGACCAAGAAGATATACACTTTCAATTTTTTTTCCCCTTCAAAAAACTGAAATCTGGCTTTTTAAAACGTCTTAAAAACGCTTTGGCTCTTGATCTCCAAGAGGCTCTGCGCATTTTGCAAAGCATCATGTGCATGTTGCCTCTAAGTCTTCCTTAATACCACACTTTTTGATGCAGGGGAGATCCATTAATTTTAACATTGCTTAGAACCTTGGAATTTCATTAACAGCTAGGAAGGCCCATCATGTAGGTTATATTTGGGTCATATTGATCATATAACAAAGCAGTAGTTCTATGATTTTGATTATTGAAATTGAATCAATATGAAACAGGAACAGGAATAGAGAAGCCAGACTATCTGGCCACAATAGATGTGGATCCAAGTTCTCCGACTTATTCACAAGTCATCCACAGGCTACATATGCCTTATGTAGGCGATGAACTTCACCATACAGGGTGGAATACTTGTAGCTCCTGCTTTGGAGATCCAGCCGCCGTTCGACGCTATTTGATCCTTCCTTGTCTCATGTAAGACAACTAAATTGAACACTTGCTTCAAAACTCTCTTCTCTGCTTAGTAATGAAGTCTTCTCTCATCATATTCCAGATCGGGTCGCGTTTATGTGGTGGACACAAAAACAAACCCAAGGGCCCCTTCTATGCATAAAGTTATTGAGCCCGAAGAAATACTCGAGAAAACAGGATTAACACATACTCACGCAAGCCATTGCCTTGCTTCAGGTGATGTAATGATTTCATGTCTTGGAGATAAGGAAGAGAAAGGGTGTGGATATCTTCTTCTCGACTCGGAATTCAATATCAAAGGAAGGTACCCCTTTTTTACCTGCAAAAAATTCAAAGAGTATCTGAGTTTACCAATTCTTACTCATCATCGTGATAGCGAAGTGATTGTAGATACTGTTCATAATAAAACCGTATGGTTTTATGTGTTGCTTCACATTTGACAGGTGGGAGAAACCTGGCCACAGTCCTCGATTTAATTATGACTTTTGGTATCAACCACGGCACGATGTAATGATTGGCACGTCATGGGGTGCTCCTTCTGCATTCACCCAAGGTTTCATCCCGCAGCATGTGTCTGAGGGATTGTACGGAAGGCATCTCAACGTGTACAGCTGGCCTGACGGCGAACTGAAACAGACTCTGGACCTCGGCAATACAGGGCTTATTCCCCTGGAGGTAAGTGTCTTGTTTAGTTTTGAACCTTGCTTATACTTGTGGTGACATTATATTGTGGGCCAACCTGGCATGTATCGTGGCTGATTCATCAATAAATGCAGATACGGTTTCTGCATGACCCTTCTAAAGACACAGGTCTTGTCGCGTGTGCATTGTCAAGTAACGTTGTACGATTTTTCAAGACTGAGGATGGGACATGGAGCAATGAGGTACAAGCAGACTATTCTCTTCTTAACGTTAATATGAGGATTATAAATATAGTTATAGCCAAAACTGATTTTGCAGGTGGCAATATCAGTCAAGCCATTGGAAGTGCAAAATTGGATTCTTCCTGAAATGCCTGGGCTTATAACTGATATTGTGATATCCCTTGATGATCGATTTCTGTACACTGTGAACTGGCTTCACGGGGATATAAGACAATATAACATCACGGACATAAAGAATCCTCGACTTACTGGACAAATATGGGTTGGGGGACTGATAAAGAAAGGAAGCCCAGTAGAAGCTGTAGCAGAAGATGGCATCACTTGGCAATCTGATGTTCCAGAGATCCAGGTCAGTGATAGTCGATTCTCAACTTAGTTTCATGGTCTGTGAACTCTCTTTGTTATATTTCATTGGCAATATTTAAGCATGTAATCTATTAATGATCAGGGAAAGGAGTTAAGAGGAGGGCCTCAGATGATTCAACTGAGTTTAGATGGGAAAAGGTTATATGTCACCAACTCACTCTACAGTAAATGGGATAAACAGTTTTATCCAGAGCTAGTGGAGAAAGGGTCCCACATGTTACAGATAGATGTTGATACTGAGGAAGGTGGCCTGAAAATAAACCCCAACTTCTTTGTTGACTTTGGGGCTGAGCCTGATGGTCCTGTCCTTGCTCATGAGGCAAGATATCCTGGTGGTGACTGCACTTCAGATATATGGATTTAGGCACAAGAAGTACCATGCTTGTATGTCAGTATCTTTCATGTAGCTGCAGTTTCACTACTTTCCACAAGTTTTGTGGTGCATCGACTACCAACAGCACGGATGTGTTATCCTTGTGTTTGTGTGAGAGCTCAATAAATGGTCTTTACAAAACTTCTCTCTCCACTTTTCATCAAAACCATTTGATTAAATTCAAACGGCTGAGAATCAAACTATTATTGAAATATTAAATTATCAAACTGTCCCAATTTTATCTGAACAGTTCAAAAACTATAGTCAAGAAAAAAGTGAAAAATTTGAAGAAGTGAAAAGAAACTACGTCTAACTTTCAAGGTATAATGTCAAATACTATACTGAGAGTGATTAAGAAGGGAGTTTACCATTATACTCCCTTCATCCTCTTTTATAAGATTATTTCCAAAATATTTTTTATCCTTTGTTATAACCCTTTATAAATTTGTTAATATATTCTCCTAAGGAAACAAATATTAATATTACTAAGTTAAAAACAAAATATGAATAACACTTTTGTTAATGAACCTAATAGTAAAAACAACAACAATAAACCTTATGCTACTAGGTTATAAATCTAATAACACCTTAAAAAATTACCATTAGTTTCAGAAGACTAGAATGATACACACTGCTGATTCCACAACTACGCAATAACAGAGCAGGACTCACGCATGCGAGAACTAAGCACACGAAAAATAACCAAGTACACCCTAGTCGTCCAAAGAAGTTTGGTTTAGTGCGGTCCATCAACACATCACTAGTGCTGCCTCCACTAACACATCGTAATATAGTGCAGCAGACTGGAAGGAAGGAAGGAAGCATATGCCAACGCACAGAAAAATGGACTCCAAAGCCACTATTAAACTTGTGATAAGTTTCTGCTACTTCCTGTTCGTCTGCTTGATGTATTTCAGCAGAAGTGCGACATCATTGAGGAGTCAGCGGGCATTATACACGTGCAATGGTTCCATAGCAGAGTGCAACGAAGAAGATGAGCTGCTGATGGAGTCTGACATAAGCAGGAGGTTTTTGGAGGAGAAGAAGTATATTTCTGAAGGAGCTCTCCAGAGGGACAAGCCTGTTTGTAATGGTGGGGGAAGTGGTGAAGCTTACAGCAGATCTGGTGGGTGTCTCCCTCCTCCCTCTAACCCTCCAGATAGAGGCTGCTCTAAATATTATCGTTGCAGGTCTTAATTGGCTACCATCTTTTACAACATGAAAAGTATTCCTCTGTACAAATACTTCGAGGGGAACTTTTGATTTTTTTTTTTTTTCAACGTTTTGGAACAAGTCTATCTCAGTTTGAGAGCTGTTCAGTGATATGTAATTGTGTGGGTAGAAACGTACTGATCAAGTTAAGCCACCTCACAAACGTAGGTATCTCCGAACAAAGCCATGCTGATGCAGGGCATCCAAACTTGGAGATCATGATCAGGGTCTTGCCATCGATTAACAAACCTGATTTGGAGGAGAAGCACCAATATTTGAATAGGTTGTCCCTTTTATTTCATTTTAAAATAACAAACGGAGTAATTCTAATCGTTATGCTTTGTTTGAACAAATAAATTTTGGATGTTATTTTAGCTTTCTATTAACTTTTCGATAGCTGGAGTGTCTACTAGGACATTGGACACCCTCGAATTCAATGTATAAGAATATAACATCTGCAGTTGCAGGCTGATATCGCTAGAACCCACACCGTTACAGGACTTACTTAAGAAGTATTATCATTAAATTATATGCTGTGAAGTGTAGTGAGAGCTCTAGAGCAGGTATTTTGTCTTTTATATATATATATATATATATATATTTAATATTGAATGACTTTATAGAGTTGTTTTCCTTGATGTACCTTATATACTAAATTAACTTTATAATTATTATCAAAACTTCTTTATAGTTCACTCTTTTTATCTTGTTCAAATTTCACATTTATTTTTAACTTAGTATTATTAAAAATAATAAACATTATAGATTAATAGTTTTAAATTATATTATTTCTTATCTCAGATTTTTTTTTAAATGAACATATTTTGGTTGAAGACAATTACAGTTTTATTGATACAAATTTTTTTCATTGCTCTTGGCATCGGTGGGCAGGTTTGGATGGGAATAATTTATCAATAACAAAAGTCTCATTTAATTAATAAAAAGGAATGGAATGAATTAAAAAAAATAAAAAAATTGCTATTCTCTCATGTTAAGTTTGATAAAACTCATTAATATATATTATAAATATAGGAATCATTACACTTTTAAAAAATCTCATGAACCATTATTCACAATTTTATAAACTAAATTACCTTTTCCTCTTATAAATGTGTTCACTTATGTCATTTTACAATCTTATTTTTACTTTTATTTTTTTAATCTATTTTATTTTATTTTTTTCAAGAAAGCAAAAGGGACCTAAAGTTGTTGGCATTGGCATTACAGAAAAAAGTTTTATTAAATATAATTAACAAAAATTAGCATAAAATAATATTTTATTAAACGTTAAATTTGGATAATCTTATAACATTCAATTTTAAAGAATAGAAATGAATAGGAAGATTAAACGCAATCACAAGACGAGAGAGAGAATAAGAAAAAATTCACAAGGAAACTAGTGAAGGGTAATTTTTCAATTTTATATAGTCCTTTTGATGGATCCTGTAGCATGAATGATATGGCATTAATGACAATGAAGCTTGAGGACGGTAATCATGAACATAATGGTATGAAAGGAGCCCAAGGCAAGGAGCTCAATACTTCCAATCCAATATGCCTAAAGACCCTTTACAACATATTGAAGGTCCAATAACAAGAGCCCGAACTAAAACCATGAAGCAAGCCTTATTTAGTTTTGTACAAAAAGTCCAAAAGCTTGGAGAGCATTGGGACACTCCTTTTAAACCCAAAGGAAAGCATCTATACGTGTATAATGTGCTTAAGATCTAAATCCATAAAAAGTCAAGCCCAAGAGATGCAAACTTCAGCCCAATACAAGGAAGACTACAAGTTGAGCCTTTTGCAAGCAAGGAAGCGTGAAACCCTGGTGAAGAAGTCAATGGTGGTGTGATTTTAAGTTCTTTATGATCCCTTAATTGTCTCCTAAATTATTTCCTATTTTAATGGTCCTTTAATTTGACTCCCTTTTTTAAGGAATAAGATTAATCTTACTTTTCTATTTTGAGTCTAGTCAAAAATTAGTATTAATTATATTATTAATTTTTAAGTTTTATAATCCCATAATTTTAGGATCACATCTACTAAATTATGTGACTAAATATTTTTTCATTATTTTATATTACTTTTCCTTTTAGTATTAGGAAATTAAGTTTTTAATTTTAAGAAATAGTCTTATCTATGAACCTATATAAATTAGGCATACTTCCTATTGTAAACCAAAGAGAAGTTGAATGAAATTATTCATTTTAGAGTTTATAATTTTGTAAGCCTTAATGTTTTGTGGTGACATCCTGTGTGAGAAACAGACATGATAAAAAACGTGATCAATTCTTGTGATGTCTTTGAAGGTTAAGATTCTTAAAGGCAGGTGTTCTAGAGAATATTATCCTTAATCATTATTTTATTATTTATTTATTTTTTTTATTTTTATCATAAATTTTATCCTTTTTTTTTTGTTCTCATATTTTTATTATATTTTTTAGTTTTATTTTTAAACTAGCACAAGTTTACTTTTGCGTCCCTATCACCTTTGGTCTGGATTGAAATGTAACAAATACCAGAGACATATGAAGGAATGATGTGGGGGTTTGGAACTCCATAATATGGGAAGATTGTGACAGCTGCTTAAACGGAGGCGAAGATTGAGGTTGAAAAGGAGGGGGGGTTGGGGATTAGGTCTGTTTGGCCACATGGATACCATATCCCCTGTCGGCGCCCACCGACGCCTCTTTCTTCCCCATCCCTATGACATTACCCATTTACCCCCATACTCTTTCCATGCATGCCTATTATCTGCCCTTCCTCACTCACAGCCATAACCTGACATGCTTAACGTCTAAATATTACTATATTTACACAATTAATCATATCATCCATCGCTATCTTAAAAGTTACTTCCTATAACTAATGCAATTTATGCCTTCTATGTCCTCCTCAAAGCCGTTTGCCTCTACTCTTAATTTTAATTATCTGAAAATGTATACTTGTAATGATTCTCCTCTGCAAATCCAACACTGGGATCTCCTCCATTCCTAATTATCTCCCTCACTTGCTCTATCCTTTCTATCATACCTTGTACAGCAACGTCGAATGCATCTTCGAACTCTTCCAGCTTTGACCTTGGATCTCCATAAATTATTCTTGGAATCAGCTTTATTACCTCTTCTCTCATTGCATGTACTTCTTCCTCTGATATTCCCAGCAGTACCTTCTCCACGTTGACATTCCATTCCCTCGCATCCCTCACAGGAATGTACACAGAGTACTTGGTCCTGTTCTCGGGAAAAAACCATAAATACTGTGAATAAGCGGTGCCTGGATGAAAGAATACTGGAACGCACCCGGCTAACATGGAATCAAAAATGGATCTTCTGGTGTATGAATCACCCGGTGGCTGTAAGCAGAAGACTGACTGTTCAAACACCTTCATAACATTAATGGTGTTGTCACATTTCTCTCCGCCATCGCTGCAATCCATGAACCTGCACGCACTGGAAGCTCTGCAGTGGTCTATGATCTTTCCTCTAATGGAGTTTTCAAGTTCCGGCCTTGGAGCTCCAGTGAAAGTGAACAAGTACGGTCTCGTTTGGTGTCTGACTCTGTTCTGCCACTCCAGAATCTCTTCCTTCTTTGAGGGATGGAAGGAGGTTGGGTACGGTATTGCATAGTCATTATTCCAGGAACTTGCTTCTACCGCTAACATTGACATGTTCATGGATTCAGGGAAAAACCTGAACTTGCTGCCCCAATAAGATTCATTATCATATTGTCTTCTAAAATCCCAAGATATTCTCCCCGAAACCAGAAAATGATCCCTACCCCACATTTTCTTCCATTCGGGTTTTCTGGCGAGCCATTGAACAAGATCGAAACCAGAAGAATCTCTCACTGTGAGATTAGAGTCCCAGAGAAAGCGACTCACATCAAGACCGGCATAAAAAGGAACAAAGATTGCAGAAGCCAAGGACGAATCATTGGTAAAACACCTATAATTTTTCATCCTGTTGTGAAAAATTACCTCTAACAAGAACTGATTAGTGAAATACCAGCTCCTGTTGGTCAAGATCCCTTCAATATCATTCCGAATCTCCGGACCTAAACCCAAGTTCTTCATGTACGGACACATGTTGGGTTCATCAGTTCCTCTCGTGAGGACCGGGCAATGCTCGAGCAAGTCATGGTTAAACCGAGTGGGGAGGTCGTGGATATAAACATATCGACCAGTGCAGGAAGAATCTGCATCGTTACTGGTCTTGTTCTTCATGATAACAGATGGGGTTTCTTGTTTGTAGACTGGGAAAGAGAACCCATCAAAGGTAGTGGAGTAATCAAAACAGAGAAGAATAGAGAACAAGAGAAAAGAGACGAGAATCGCAAACCAGAGATGATGAACGCAGATTCTGGTGATGGGGTTCTCCATTTGCGGGTCAATAATTCAAGGGGCTACATCGTGAGCTTAATATCATTCACGTGTAAAGTATTACCAGCTTTTGATGAAGACAGAGGCAAGATTTAAGGGCCTTTGAGACCAACGAGTGGACCACCAAACGAGTCTGGATTCTGTGAAGAGTGTGACGGAGGAAGCAAACGTCGGTTATGTTGCAGGGGCATTCAACAACCAATACAACACAAGACAATTTATGTGGGGCCGCAAAATTATGTGACCATTCTTTTCCCTTTATCCCGGTAAAAGGCCAAAGCAGGGGAAAGCGAGACTGCCACGATCCTTTTTTTTTTGTGGGGTTGGGGAGGTCAACGATTGCCACGTCTTTCCTGCATGGGTGTTTTCATTTTTTTTTTAAGATTAAAAGAAACATGCTATTTTTCACAAAAAAAAAAGAAAATGACAAAGATGCTAATTTATAGAAATTGCAGGTGTAGGTGGCGATGGTCTTCTTGCTGTGAAACTGAAAACCACAGCCGCTGACAAGGACAAAGATAAAGATAAGGAAAAGCCGGTTCCCCATTCATCCTATACCAGAATCATCGTGTTCAAGCAAGAGCTACCAATTGAACCAGGTAGATCAAAAATTTCAAGAGGCATGGGTTTAAAAATTCAATATATAATATTCTTCTAACAAAATCAGTTTCAGAACTAAAGCCAATAGTTGAGAGAGAAAGTTAAACGACAGAAACCTAATTTTTGGGTGAGACAAACTCCAGTTAGGGCAATGAGAGGTAGATCAGTTCAATAAATTTCAGTGAGATGAGCCACAGATTGCTGTCGCTACTTGTAGATGATAACCAACTGTGACTTCTACAGTAGAGAGAGTTATAATGAGAATGGATGGAAGCAAGGGGGAGGTAACGAAAAAATTGACCGCTAAATTTTAAAAAGAATTTTTTTTTAATTTTTTCATATTAAGAAAAAAATTAAAGATAAAAGCATGTGAAGTCTTTTCATTTTACTTTTTTTTCTCTCTACTTTTCTTTCCATAATCAACGGAAGAAAATGTTCTTTCACTTTTCTCTCTCATTTTATTCCCTTTACTTTTCTCTCATTCCAACCACAGTGTCAATATTAAATGTAGATTCAAACAAAACTGCGTGATTTTGTCAAATGCTGGGTCTGGACAGGGACATTTTCTCAAATCCTTCTCTTCGAAGTTGGAACGAAACAAACCCTGACTCGAGCGGCTTTGCGATTAGGGTTTTGGGTAGAAAAGGAGCAGGGTTTTAGGACTGTTTCCCCTCCCTTTCCAATAACTTATGTTTGGGAAAACCCATCACCATGAGGAGGTCAGGCGACCCACCAGATGTCAAGAAGTAGGCGCTGGTTTCTTCCACATCTCTCCCTTTATGACCTTTTTTTTTTTCATCTATCTATTTTCGCTTTTGTTATTTTATCTGAGCATTTGTTTTTCTTTTTCTCTGTTCTGCCTGCCCGCATACGACAGCTACATGGACAAGAAACTTTAGAGTAAGTTCCTTTCTTTTCTTTCTCTGTTCCCCCTTTAAGATGGTTTGGCGGATTCAGTCTCTGAGTTCTGCACTGTAATGACTTCACTTGTGTCAAGTATTGTTTCCTGGGGTTTGATTCTCGTCTTCGACGTTGAGAAATATCCTAATGTTCTGTTCCGATTTCATTGTGTCGATTGAAATTTTGAGTGAGATAGGTTGCCCGGTGCCTCAAATTTGCATCTATAAGTCGTTTGTCATAGAGATATTTGCAGCAAATGGAGACTAGCTTGTTCAATTGGTAACTTTTGATGGTTACTTAGTTCCAACGTACTTAGTGTCAGTATAATTTCATGATCTATGCTTATTTATTCATCCCTAGTCCTAGAAGCCCTGTGCCCAATCGAACTGTAGTTGAATCGAAGCTCCTTTAGATGTGTCTGTATTTCTGTATCTGTAGTCGGTCCGTAGCAGCCCATTTGACTTGTATATCACCTGAGTTTCTAGGACCACCCGATTATCCTATTGTAAAGAGTAATTCTTTCTGCACATGCATGTTTGGTGTCATCAGATATACAAATATAGTTTGAATGGAGTCTCATATCTGGTCCCCCTCTCCGCCTCACTACCTAGTTCTTATCTGCTCTTGACCTCCTTACTATCAACTTGTTTGATATCGTGATGGGCGCTTGAGCTGTAACATTTAGTTTGTCAGATTGGATTGCATTCTTATTTGGCACCTTTTCTTTCAATACGCATTTATATTATTCTTCATGAGCAGGCTTGCCTTTAGTCCATTTTGCATTTGCTGCTTGATTAGTTAATTATTATTTGTGATTTCCAATTCTGTCTATGTCTTCGTGAGCCCCTCAAACTTTATGTTGGTAAACACCCCTCAAGAGTGGGAGACAATAAAATAATCAAGACGTGTTCTTTTGCAGTCAAGCTGAACCTAGTTGTTGACAATACTGTGGAAGTGAATGGCAACGAGAAAATTGATATAGGCATGGTGGTAGGTTCATAATTTTTGCATTTTCTGTTTTATGATCGGTGTTAAAGTTGTGGCCGCTGATAAAAGTGTGAACGCTGTGTTATCTTCAATCTGAATATTTCATCTGTTACTACAGGTTATCAGAGGAAATAGTGTGGTTACTGTTGAGGCACTTGAACCGGTGAACAGGTCATAGTGATGTATTATGCTTCCGACTTGCGTTTACTTAGACAATGTACTTCTGAGTATAACTGGTAATGATGGATCTTGAGAGAGTCATGCTAGCCGCCGTTAGTTAGTTAGTTAGTTTTTTTTTTTTTTAATATAAAGCCACGGAAAACTAGTGCAAGACACTAATCTCTAATCATGTCTGTAGTCAGGGGACAGGTTGTTAAAGATACAAATGTCAAAATTACGATAATGCGTCTTGTGGGCTAGCCACTGTTTGTATTGGTTGCTCATCTGTTCCCTTGGATTTACAAGTAACTTATATTGAACATTTTCATTGATGGAAGGATTTTGTAAATGAGAAGAATGGTGCCCATACAATGAGGCCCGCTAATGAAGTATGTCGAAACACGAGTCCAGAACCCTCATGGTAAATAGTTGAAATTTTGCAAAATGACGATTATATGACTATTGCAAGTTTGTTTTGGAAGCTAAGGTGCTTAGGGCTTATCTAGTAATTTAAATGAAATATAAGATAAAAATGTGAAAGGACTTAAATATCCTTTATGCCACAACGTGTGGTAAATAAATTGTATAGGCCAATTTATTTTTGAAATTTATATTAAATAAAGATTTTGAATTAGCTTTTCTAAAAGAAAATAAAGCTGTTGCAAGCTAGGCTCAAATCCATATTAATAATTTCATATTTTAAGTGTAAGTACATGAGCTCGATCATCCTCCGCCTTCTATGCGCTTCTTGTTATTTTGTAACTTTTTCTAGCTTTTTGCTAGTCCTTTTGCCGATTGTTGATGCTGACTAAGACTTTACCATTAGTGTTGATTAGGATTGGGGTTGGATTGCTAGTTGTGACTAAGGTCAAGCAGTCGAATTTGATTAGGATTGGATAGTTAGAGCTGATCAGGATTGTTTATGATGATATGGACCAAATTGCTGGCTTGGACAAGGAGGATCGTCAATGTCATTCGAGAAATGAATAGTTGGCATTGATCGAGACCACTCTCCTTTGCCACTACATGCTGGTTTGTTGTCATTGTCATTTGATGTCAATCTAGTGTCGTCATTTTATGTTAGTCCATCACATCTAACATGTGTTGGTCTGCTGTTGCCATGACTGTTTGAGATCGGTTTGTGATCATCGTCCTGGATTTGTTTGTTTTTATTGTTCATCACCAAACGTTGCTATTAATAGGGTATGTTTTGGTGTCGTCATCCAGGTCCAATCTACAATCCTTAAAATGCTGTGATCGTCCTGTGCTAATTCATAGGCGTTGTTCAGGTTTGAACAGTTAGAGTCAACCATGAATAGTTAGAATTGAATGAGATTGCATCACCACCCTTGATCTGGAATGGACCGTCAACTTTGACTAGGATCAGATCGTTGATATCATTCGAGTTATCTTTAAATTTAAATATAAAATTTAAAATTTAAAATTTTATTAAAATCCAAACAAAATATTTTAATATTATAATTTAAAATTTTTTATTTCGTCCAAACATAGAATTTATAAATTTTAAACGTGGGATTTCAATTCAAATTTTTAAAATTAAATTCACCCGTTTAAGTGCAACCATAATTTATTTGTCCAAGGACTATTGAAAAAAGAGACTTAAAAAACAATGGAATACCTTCAAATAATGAAAGAGAAAGGTTTCACCATGGATGCTTCCACCCCATAAATGCTTACCAACTACTTATCCACTGATCAAGTCGACAGTACCTTCCGAGAATTTTAATGCAGGAAAAGTAATGCATTTCAAGAATGGGTTTACAAGTCTGGTTGAATCTAACCTTCAAACTGATTATCCGGTTAGCCTTTGTAGTCGAGATATCACATGTCTACTGTCACACTGTGCCTGCTGTGTTGGACAGCATAGCATGCCAATGCGAGAATCATGAAGTCATGAACACAGGGCATTCCTTTGAACAGTAAGTTCCTAGACATCTAATTGCATATTGCATTCTGGTAGATGTTCAAATAATCTAAAATAGCTCGGGCAGGTGGATGGTTGTCCTATATGACCTTTAGCAATAGGTCTTCCTTTGCACATTTTAGTAGCTAATTATCTCGCTTACATGTGGAAGCTGGAAACATTTTCCTTCAACTTTTGAGAGCCAGTTAGCCATCCATTTGAAAAGCTATCAATATCGATTTATCAGTTAGAACAAAAATATATAGGAATCATTAAGTGGGTACTTGCTGCCTTTTTTGCAAGTGTTATAAGTGCAGTTAGCTTTAACCTTTGACCGCTTCATTCCTTTTGACAAATTTACAAAGAAAATAAATGATTGTTCGACTCCTGGTTCTTTTTTTCACTTTTTTCCTCCTCAGATCGGAAGCTTTTCAACGCATGAGGAGGTGACTAACTGAGTTATATCATCCACACCGGCAGCACATGCTAGTCTCTAACAAAACTTGTTTCGCATCAAGCAAATATGCCTCGTCATAATGATGACTGGAATTTGAGACATCAACGTGAACATTTTTGCTGTTAAAGCTAACATCTCTCGCTTTCATTTTGTGGAAAGCTTGACTTGCTGGTGACTTCGAAAGCATATGACACTAGTGTTAAATATATTATGGGGGGAAATTGTTGGACTTGTCTAATTCGTAGCATGATACGGCAAATTCTTCAATGCCACTACAATTGAATACGTGTGTGTGGGTTTTTTTCTTTCTTTTTTTTTTTGGGTAGGGGTTCGAGTAAACGATTTATGATCATACAAAGTGTCATGAATTAATTTACGTGTCGTCAACAATTGTATCTTATACCTTTAGTTTGAAAAAATAAACAATGGATTACTGATTAAATACATGAATTAATTCTCGTTTGTTTATCATTTTGTTGGCTATCTACTGAACTAAATAAACATTTACTTAATGATTAGTATGTAATTGTCAGTCTTGCGTCATGTAGTTAGCATTGTATATCGATTGGTGGAAGCTGGCGCCAGAATATAGGACGAAAATATGATGTAATTCTATTTTACTAAATTCATTCAATTACTCCTATTATGACGACATATTTTACTCGAGGTATGGCAAGTGTTGATTTGAGCGGAAAATATAGAAAATAAGTGTGTAAGGTTAATAAGAAGCAAGGAAATTGACGGAAAGTCCATGCTATTATTTGCCATTAGCAAAGCTGAGTGCAGTTGCGAAGTTTTTAATTTAAACCCCATAAGGCTGCTATTTCAACATCAAACTGAGATTTAAAAGAATGCAGAAGGAAGGATCACCATTGAAGGCAATCTATATCAGGAACATTGGATGAAGAACTTGTACCACGAGCATTTTCGCAGGATGCATGGGTGGTTTTTCCAAGATCAGAAGAAGTTATATTAATTTTTTCCAACACTATGTCCGTGCAACCTCTGCTGTCGTCGCACTCCAATTTAATTGCATCCTCAGAAGCTGAAGTTCCGCCAAAATTCCTAAATGTAATGTCACTAACTTCCACTGCTGTTACTTCATGTAGTCCCACATAGTATTGATTTTTTTTTTTAATACACGGCCACGGTAAAAAACCGTGCAGGAGGGCCAAATCAGGTCATGTCAAAAATCAAAAAGCTTCTACAATCATTAGGAACGTCATCTAGAACCGTAGTGTCGAAATGGTCGCTAGAAGCCTTATGAGTTAGAAGATCTGCTCAATGATTTGCTTCTCTGTAGACGTGATCCAAGGTGACCTTCAAGTTCCTCATGATGAGATTTCTGATGTTTTTTATGATAGTTGAGAGCAGATGACCCTGAACTAGATTGCCATTAATGAGGGATATGGCCTCCATTGAGTCGGTGTAAACATTAAGACTAGGAATTTTAGCATTCCAGTAGATGGTTAGGCCTTCTAGAATCCCGATAAGCTCAGCAGCTGTGATATGTTGGTAACCAAGGTTTTTAGTGAAGCCTTTGATCCAGATACCCTTGTCATCTCTTATGAGCCCTCCGAAATGTGATCCTTCTGGCATATCCAGAGCCTCTCTACTCAAGAACAACTCATCATGTGCATCTATTTGCTCAATGCATGATTGGAAGCTAACACTATATTAATATCAGTCTTCCATTATATCTGAGACATAATAAGCATGTATCAGTATGTATTATTATAATATATAGAGAGAGAGATACCTTCCATGTCTTGATTCTGGCTCCATTTGAAGTTCTTGTGAAGGTACAATTTCGGACGTGGATGTCTTCCACTGTTGCATGAGACCTCTTTGATCCGAGGCTCCCAATGCTATAATCACGTGCAGTCGTGCACAAATACATTAGTTTGTTCAACACATAACAGAGAGGTCTGTTGTTTCACTGATTGAAGAAAACAAGCAAATTTTTATATGCATATTCACCAACACACATCATAAACAGGTTTATGAGTTTATTGAACAGAGCCAGTCTGTTACTTTTTTCGGTTTTCAACATGGGAATAATCAAGGAACTTATGAATGACGATCACCTGATGCCATGACCAGGTCCGCAATAAACACCAGTAACGTTAATGAAAGATAAGCCCTCATTAATGGCAATGCAGTCATCACCTACGGCAAATTATATATGACTAATGATTAAGACACTGATATTTACGAAGGGATAAAGCCTCAGATGGTTCCAAGTTAAGGAAAAAATATAATGACCGGTTTCGATGTTGGAATCCTGAATGATCATGTTGGATGTTGTGGAGATATCAATCCCATCAGTGTTTGGGCTATCCTGAGGCGGAACAACATGCAAATTGGAGTGGTGTATCCCGTTGCAGTCATCTAAGTGAATATGAACTTTTGGACCATTTATGTGAGTAAGCACCTTCAGTTGTAGATTTTCACACCTGTGAAAACTCAGCCATCTGTATCATTTCATGGCATTACTTGTCACAACACCATTCAAATATGTCAATTTTGTTATGTAGGGAAGCAAATTGTGAAACTTACGTCAGGCCTCTTGCATCTGGATTCATGAAAACAGTCCCACCAGGGGGCACCCTGGCCATCAACAAGTCCTCTTCCATCCACAAGAAGCCCCTTTATGTCACTGAAATGTATCCATCTACCCTCATCCCCTCTTTCCCATTTCCAATCACTCACTTCTCTTGGTGCAATCAAGCTTCCTTCAATCTGGCAACCCATGACACTATTTTTTTTTTTTTTTACATTATATCTTGGGAAAAGAATATGACAATATATGTAGAGAGTCGTCTAAGAAGTGAAAGTGCATTGAAGTCAGTTGCATTACCTTGACGTTAATAGCTGAAGACTTGCACTCACCCATGAAAATCACAGGTTGCAGCATGAAGGTTTTGTTGTTGGGTATTAAGAGAGTTAGACTGCCCTGCGTTGCTTCACAAACATCCTTCCATGCTTTGAGAAAAGCCTTCACAGGTTCCCAAATCAAGCATAATTAATTAGCCAGCGAGTAAATAAATCATATGGCAGGTAGTAATGGTGTGCTATACTATAGCAGAAAAGCTTGTCACATTAAAGTTGGTGATGAAATAGGTTACTTGCGAATCATCAGTTTGGCCATTCCCAATAGCACCGTAATCAAGTACATTGAAAGTAAGATTAACAGGAGGTCTCATTCTAGCACGCAGGCAACTTGAAACAGAAAAGCACATGAAGAGTATTGCAAACAGAAATGGGCCTTGCATGTTCTTCTACAATTACATAAATTAATTAACTCCACTTTTACTGCACTTTTCACAAACCCTAGCTTTGCAAACCAAGCTTTGACCTACTTGCAGATGATGATGTTCTGGGGCAGGGAAACTGCATCTGTAATATTTAGTTTGGAGTTTGGACATCTAATAATGAAGATTTTGACCACTGTCAATTGGTAACTGCCCCAATTTTTTCCCACACGTGGCATGCTTATATTTTATTCATGCTTATTAGTAAAATCTGCAATTAGATTTCATTACTTTGATGGTTTATTTTTGACTTGAACAGGATCAACATTCATAAATTATTACCATTGCCTCGATTTTCACATTCATATCTCCTAGTGTGATTCCCTCTTCAATTCCTTTGATCTTTAAGTCCTTCTCAGAACTTTTATGTTGCACACTCATTCCTTCAGGTCAACATTGGCATTTTTAGGAACTTGATGTGATTTCTTTTTCCTTTTTTATATAATTTTTCTGTTCATCCAAAAAAAAATGCCCACGTTTCAACTCTTTCCTGGTTTCATTCAGTAGTGTTGATTTGTCCTGAGCTGCCATGGGAATTTGCTCACTTTTGTATTCATTTTTCGCATTCTGCTTTCCCACTCTAGTACTTATTTAATATCAATTAAATAAAAAAAATTTCTTATTTGCCTTTAAAAAAAAAGTTAATCATGTAATGCAAATGTGCAATACAAAATCTCAACACATTCATCCATTATACATCTTTAGACTTGATAATACAATCACTGGAATACGTTTTTTTTTTTTTAAATTTAACTGGTTAGGACTTTTCTCATGCTTAGTTTTTTAGAAGATACTAAAGAAAGATAATTTGTTGAGAAGATAATGTAAGGAGCGAATCCATGGTTAAAAAAAAGAAAGGAAAAGAAAGTGAGTATGTAATTTTTTTTTTATCCAAATGCTGCTATAAGAGCTTTGCTTTGTACCCAATTTCCTAACAATCAAATATAACATTTACAGTGAGTACTAAAATATTTTTAATATCCTATAATAAATTGTATGATTCATAATATGCTAACAAGTTTTTTTAAACACATTCCTCTTAGTCCTTGTGTTCTTTGCTAAAACCCGTATGACTGGGGAAGAACCACTCGCTCAGTTGCACTATTGGTTTCACTTGGAAAAAAAAATAAAAAAGTTGTATTATTAGATTTTCGCTCGCTTGGAGGGTGGAGATACATATTTTATGGTTTGGTCCCAAACTCGCGAAAAAACACCACCTGACAAAATCCTCAAAAAAAAAAAAAAAAAAAGCCGAAAACCGGATTGGCAGAGTACGGTAAGAGTTAAGACGAAGTTGAAGTCAACTTTCTCGCGAATCGTATCAGTCTTGGGATCAGACGTCGTTGTTGTCCAATTTTTACTCATTCTCCGCCTCTGTCTATCATTTCTCGCGGACCTCTCTGACTCTTCTTCCTCTCTCAGAAGATTCAGAGCAAGTTCCCAGAAGATCTATTCCGATTGTTCCCGATATGGACGGAGCGCCACATTCGTCCGCCGGCTCCGGCGCTGGAGGCGGCGGAACTGGAGGTCCAGCTCCCTTCCTTATCAAGACCTATGAAATGGTCGACGATTCTTCAACAGACGATATTGTATCGTGGAGCTCCACCAACAACAGCTTTGTCGTCTGGAACCCCCCCGAGTTTGCTCGTCAACTTCTTCCTACCTATTTCAAGCACAACAATTTTTCCAGCTTCATCCGCCAGCTCAATACCTACGTGAGTATAAAATTTATGCCTTCCGCGATGGCGGAAGTCCGAATTATTCTGGATTTCAGATTAATTTCGGTCATTTTATTTTCGAGTATTGCCTTCTCTATAATTATTAGTTTTTTCTTCTGGGGTTTCACCTGCTTGGCCACCCTTCTGCCTAAATGCTGAATAGTATTTTTAATTACTGACAGTAGTTTCTGTAAGTTTCAAAAGTTCTTGAATTTAACGGTTTTATCTGCCGTATTTTTTTTTTATTGCTTGTACAATTCAAGAGTGCAGTTCGTCTTTCTTAGTCTTTGTTGTCAGGAAGTCTTAAATTAGATTCCTGCTCAGCAATTGTACCTACATTTTTACGGAGCATCATGGTCTCTTACTCGATCGTCGGTTGGAGTGCCGATATTGATTACCTTGTTTGATCCCATGAGGAAGTCAATGTTTCTCATTCGATAGTTGGATGGACTGCCAATTTTTGCTGGTTATTATTATGGTCCGAAAGGTGGCTTGATCCTTTGTTAAACTTAAATACCTTGAAATCTGAATCTAATGAAGAGTTGCTACTTGTTTTGGCTGTGCAGTTGAGAGGGTTCACAGTCACCCAATTATTTGTCAATGTATATAAGTATATGCCTAGACCCTAGACCATCAATTTCATGATACTGTTGGTTTGGAGGTTAATTTGCGGGTAATTGGGAAATTTGGTCGGTAGCTTTGCAATATTCAGGAATAAAAGCGTATGGAGTCGTAATTGTATTAAATTGTTAATATCCATTGTAAAATGGGGAGAGATAGAGAGGCTTTTGTACAGCCCCAGGCCACGGGGCAATCCAAACCTCCCGTATATGCTGGTATTTTTCTTTAATTTTAATGGGTTTTGGGTTTTGCAAAAGACCTCTCACTAATCCTCAAAGTGGTCCTCCAGCTCTTACAACTCTATATCTGTCTCTTGTACGGTCTGGTGGTTTTTAATTTATGAGCATTTTAATAGAAGATTTATACATTGTGTTTGTTGCCAGATCTTTGTTTCCTAGAAACTGGAGAGGCTTGGACTGGTATGAAGTTGATTTCTTTCTTTGCATATTACATCACTTTAATCAATAATGACTTGGGGAAAATACTGTTAGGTTTTCATAGTTTTTTTTTTGCAGTATATTTTGTCAAGTGCCAATCTTCAACTATAAAGGTGTATGGGATACTTTTATCAGTTATCGTCCCATCTAGTTGTTTCTACAAAATAGCTTAATCAACACATTTTGACTTTACTTGAGGGTAGGAGCTTATATCAACACAGGTCTTTTTGGTTGTCATGGCTGCCTTTGATGTGAAAATGGCTGCTTGCTGTTTTACACACTCATACATCCATCAAGTTTGGCAATGTGCTAAAACAAGTCTCAGTCATAGTTTCTTGTTGTTAAAAAATCTAGAGCCATTGTTGGAATTGCGCAATCCTGCCCTTTAATCTCCCAGAATGAAATGAAGTATGACTAAGTTTTAAGTCTCTCTAGCAGAAAAATGTGGCTCTCATATTATCAGTTCAGGGAGGGAGGTCTTCCAAAGAACAACATTATTTGAATTTGTTTTATCAATAATGGCCAAATCTAAAGAGAAATCCACTCTAATACTTTTTTTTAATGAGAAGAGTTCCTTTTTCCTTGATTGTGTGCTTCAACTTTCTCCTGTTGTTATGTATGTATGTATGTATAATTATATACCTCAACAAAATTATAGACTTAAACATGCATATAATCCATGTAATTACGTCGCTAAATCACTTTTTCTGGTATTATTCCTTACTCTGTTGAGCATTGTTATATATTTTGTCAAAAATGTATATGATCCGCATATATAATAGATTGGATTTGAAAGGACTTTCATGGTAAGTTCTGTTTATTCTGAAGGTAAGCCTGCACATAGTTTAGCAAAAGAAGAAAGGAAAAGGGCACTGTGGACATGGTTCAACTGTGTAAAATAAATGTAATCCTTGACAAGTCATTGGTAACCTTTTACGATAAAAATGCTGCTGTTACTTGTTAGGAAAATAATGCTTATCCTTTTGGTTTGTCTTTAGGAAAATTTATATTAGTAGTTTGGTTTGTGCCAATCGGAGAATAATGGAAATGTAAGAGCCACCATAGATTTGTTTTCTTGCAGTTTTGAATCGCTGATAAGGCTAATGGTTGAGAAGATCTTACGGTCGATTATTCAAAGAAAACTTTAGGTGATATAGCTTGAATAAAATTGATTGATGTTTGCATCTGAATCCCATGCTTTCCTTGTAATTTTTGTTTGTGTATGCTTTTTTAACTTGATGCTGCCTCTTTATTTTAGATATTCCTTAAACCTGCTGCCTCCAAGAAGTTCAAGATAGATTTAAAGAATTGATTTATTGATTAATTAAATAAAGTTACAATTGATTACAGTTAGCTTCCCCCCCTCCCCCATTTTGGAAGGGGAATTTAGTGAAGTTGGAGCCCCTAAGGTAACTTAATTTGTTCACTTGAATGTGTTCTACTATCAGGGGTTTCGAAAAGTACATCCTGAGCGATGGGAGTTCGCTAATGATGATTTTGTAAAAGATCAAAAGCATCTTCTCAAGAATATTCACCGTAGGAAACCTATCCACAGTCACAGCCATCCTCCAGGCTCTGTTGTGGATCCTGAACGGGCAGCATTTGAGGAAGAAATAGATAAACTTACACGTGAGAAAACAGCTTTTGAATCCAACATCGTCAGATTTAAAAAACAGTCAGCTGTAAAGCTTCAGCTGGACGATCTATTGCAGCGATTAGAAGGCATGGAGAAGAGACAGAAGGATTTGCTGAACTTCTTTGAAAAGGCTCTTCAGAATCCTTCTTTTGTTGAACATCTTTCTCAGAAACTTGATAGCATGGATTTATCAGCATATAATAAGAAAAGAAGATTACCTCAGGTCGATCACTTGCAGCCAGTTGGTGAAAGTAACTTCGTTGAAAATCATAGCAATTTTAGAACAGAATTTGGCACCGTCATCCACCAAGACTTCTCAAATAAACTCAGATTGGAGTTATCACCAGCCGTTTCAGATATGAATTTGGTATCACGCAGCACTCAGAGTTCAAATGAAGATGGGGAAAATCCACAGAAGAGGCTATCTGAAGGAACGCCCAAAGGAGTGCAGCCAAGAACAGCTCTTGCATTTACGCCTGAAACATTAGAGCTTGCAGATACTGGAGCATCTTTTTCTTTCAAGATGGATTCATGTCTATCACAAAGAGCAACAACTGCTGAGAGCACAAAACTGCACTCTTTGCATCTAAGTAACGAAGAAGGAGACAGTCATATATCCTGCCATCTAAATTTGACTCTGGCGTCTTCTTCTTTGCAAGTTAACAGAAATTCATACTCAGCTAGATCACCCCAAATAGACTGTCAGGAAATAGGCAAATTGGCAGAATCTAGATTTTACGAAAACGATAAAGATTCTAATAGTGGAGTTCCTTCGACCAGAAATTCAGCTCATGAGGTTACCAATTTAACCTTCTCTCAGCCAAAGGAGACTCCAAGCAGCAACCAAATGCCACCGGCTGCTCCAGCCAGAGTGAATGATGTCTTCTGGGAACAGTTCCTTACTGAAAGACCAGGTTGTTCAGACAATGAAGAGGCAATATCCAACTACAGAGCAAATCCATATGAAGAGCAAGACGAAGGCCGGTCAATTCCTGGAATCTCCAGAAATGTTAAGAATATGGATCGGCTGACACTTTGATTATGTTGTCCTAGATCCTCCATCAGATTTAGAGAAGGTTCGCCTAGTTAGACAGATTGCATGCGAGATTTGCTTCATAAATATACATATAATAATATGAAACTTGACGTAAAAGTGTTTTGCAAGGGACTGAACTGTTTCATGTCCCGATACATTAGATCTTTCTAGTTAAAGTTCGATACCACCTTGTATTAGCTTCTAGTAGTCGGAACTGGATCTCAGTGTATGTCACCTGCTTGGAAGTTTTGTAGATAGTTAAGTTCTGTATGGTTCCTGTTATCCGTGCTGAGTTAATCCACAAATCAATGAAGCACTTGAGACTTTAAGTTGGTTTGGATCTTTGAACTGAAAAGGTTCTTGTCTACTCGCGTGTTGGACTATCTGATGCCGGCCCTAAGGCTTCAAGTCTCAAATGAATTATACGGTTCGGGGATTTGTTTCGAGGCGTGCGACAGGAATTTTTTGTTGTCACTTGTGTTGTGAATCAATATCATATCAGTATATAGAATCAGAAGGGAGCCCCATTATGTTATAGGCTTTTTAGGTTTCGTTTCGTACCATTTTTTTATATTTTATGGGGTGTAACTACATTTTTATTTATTTATATATATATATATATATATATTAACATGATTTAAATGTTAGAAAGACAGATACTTGGAGAAATTTTTAATTCATTATCTCCGTGTATTTGCAAGGGCATGTTTAGCTTATTTTGACAAATAAACATTTGAGATTAATGCGTACATTAAATGCAAGGAAAGACTATTGAAGATAATTCCCCGAATTCTTAAATGACAATGATGCACCGAAATTGTTTGGAAATCACATTATAACATTGGGAAAACTTGCAGTCATCATTTAATTGGTGGAGTTGCTGACAGTGCATCAGAGCACTAGAATGGTGGACGAGAGTTGAAAGCTGTACAATATGGCCACTGTTCCTTAGTGCATCCCAATTTATGACCCAACAACCCCTCAAAGCCGAAAGGTTCTCTCTTTCACAAAACTCGCAACAGTGACAAATCTGCAAACCCAGAAACCTCCAACTCAGAAATCGAGCGATGTGCCAACCCTCGGTCAATTTCTGGACTTATCTGTGCCTCTCCCTCGTCGTCCTCCACACCCACCTTCCTATCTGCGAGGGTCTCTCTGTGGTTGACCTCAATTTGCTGGAGCACGGCCAATTCCATGCCATGACGAAAAGGGTTTGCAGGAAAAGCATTGGAGAGTGCCTCACAGATCCCCAGATGGGTTCTGACAGCAACAGGAGACTTCTGGCGATGCAGAAAAGGTACATTAGCTATGAGACTCTCAGGAGGGACATGGTTCCATGTGATAGGGCAGGAGCTTCTTACTACAGTTGTCACGCCACTCAAGCCAATCCCCATAATAGAGGCTGTGAGGTCATCACTGGATGTGCCAGAGGTATTAAAGGCATCAACTCTTGATCAATTTCATACTCGTTCCTTAGCCCTTAGTCCACTCAAGGTACCTTCTGCGTTTTCCCCCCTTCAATTTTCATCTTATCGTTTTGTTCAAGAGGCTCCCTGTGGTTAATACCATGAGTTTACATTCAGAAAGCACATGATTTGTAAAATATAATAAAGGATCTAACTTTTCTTCTCATATTTCTTGGTTTTAGTAAATGACTGCCTTCAACATTTGTATCCTGGAGATGTTGATCTGTTAAATTGCCTTAGCATTGAAGTTCCTTTTTAACTCTCGTCGAAGTTGCAGAGTGTTAGGCATTCAGGAGGATTAAAAACTGCCTTTCTGGATTTCGATGAGTTATGAACTTAAAACTACTACTACTTACAATAAAAACAAATGCGAATGCGGATCATTTGCCACGGTTATGTCCACCCTGTTGCTGGATTCGCACTTGAATAATTTGGTTGTTCTATTTTCTATCCCTGAGCACTCATGAATTCACTGCTCTCATTTATCAGGCGATCTTTTTTGCCTCGAAGAATACATGATCCCTCCTAGGCCGACGCTATTTTCATAAATTTTCTGGATTGCCTTTTTCTGTCATGCAATGATAGATATGGATGTATTATCAAAAGGGAGGGAAAATCTGAACTTGACATGGTTTTTCTATACGAAACGCTTTTCTCCCTTTTCCACATTGGGTTACTGCCCCCATCAATAATTGTTCACTTCGAGTAATAGATTCAGTCTAGGGCTTGTCAGGGCATGATTATTACTCTAATCTGCGAGCAAAACCTTGTCACAGTTTCTGTATTAATTTGATATGGACAAGGAAGCCATGGGTTTGTCAGATCATCTCAAATGATTCGCACAAACCTCTCTGTTTCGCTGTTGAAAAGATGTATTCAGATTGTTTGAGCGCGACGAGTGAGAGCAACATGCTTTGAGAAAGCCAAAAGTTCAATGGCGACGACTTTGTACGATCAAACAAAAGGTCAAACTCATATGCCCATGGCTATGCAAATGTAATTCCACTGTCCGAAAAGTTTTGAACACGAGACTAATTTTTTTTTTTTTAAGTTGCGCACAAGCACCCATCTATTCTAAGTCTTGTTCAAGACATGATGGGATACTGAACGTCAACATTACTTTTAATGAAAATTTAAATTTTAGTTTATCATATTTTATAAAATTAGTCTCGAACATTCATTGGTTTTTAAATCTGGAACTTGCAATGAGGAGTAACACATAAGCTTGGCCATTTGATTCTAGTTGAATTTGTTTTTGATAGAATTGTTTAAGCCCAGCTTATTATGCGTTGAAGAAATGAAATAGCAAATTAATTTTAATGATGGATTTGGATTGTGAGAAAAGTTGAGAGGATGAAAATAAAGAGAAAAGAAAACTAACTATTATTATTCTTTATATTTGAATGGACAGTAAAGAACAGAGAAAAAAATAAACAAATGTTACACTAGCCTGTCATAATACCTTTATGTCATAAAATTTCATGTCTCATGTAATTATCTCTATAAAAGCAAAACTTACATCAAATTAACATCACCAAATTAACATCACCACATATGACCTACTACCACATTTATAGTTATCACCACTCAAACTCGACATGTATTTCTTGGGTTTTAAATGTAAAAGATGCATAAACTTAAACTTTTATTATGTTGAATAAGTATCTAATATCCAAGGTAGACTTTTGTAGATATAGCTGTTATAGAGTTCAATTAATGCTTTAAAATAATAATAATAATAATAATAATAATAATAATAATAATAATAATAATATATAACAAGTATCTTTATTTCTTCGACAAAGATCAAGTCACAAAGCAAGATGGATCTACTACCTAGGTCAAATCAGCAACAATTGTCGAAGCTGTTATCAACTATTATCTAATGGAGAAATGAAGAGTGGCGTCAACGATTGAAAAATAAAGGAGATTTCATTTCTTTCACTAGTATGTAATGAAAGACTTCCAAATTACCACACTTCTAAATTTTGTTATTCTGTTCAGTCATTCGCCTAGTTATCAACTCATCCATATTCACTTTGACATCAAAGGGGCCAGACACAGCAGCATGCCATTCTAAACAAATGGAACAATTGAGCCCATAAATGCAATTCGTAGATAGTTGGATTTCTTTGAATTTTATTTGTGTTTGTTCTGAATCCTCTTTTATCTATGATGTTGCTGTCAACAAAAAATGAGGGTTAGTCAAAAACTCTTGCAAGATTTTTCACGAGCTGGTCGTCTTTTTAAAATCTTGCTTGGTAGCGACATGCACTAGGGAAGATGCAATCAAGCTTCTTACCCATTTTATGGATCTATCTCACTCATTTTCAGCTTCTACGTTAACTCAAGCATTCTTAAATAATATATATAAATTGCATGGAGCCCCGGTTGAGGTGATAAGTAATAAAGATCTAATATTTATTAGTAATTTTTGGAAGGAGTTCCTCAAGGTGATTAGAGTAGAGCGAAAGCTTACTTCTTCCTATCATTCTCAAACCAATAGTCAATCCGAAGTACTCAATCGATGCTTGAAAACTTATTTAAATTGTATGTGTTGGAAAAATCCTAAAGAATGGAGTAGATGGTTACCACTTGTTGAATAGTGGTATAATACTAGTTTTCATACTTCTATCAAGGCTATTCCGTATGAATTACTTTATAAGCAGAAACCTCCTCTATATATTCCTTATTTGCCTAGAACAACAATTGTTGAAGCTAAGAGTTTTGAAGCAAGGGAACGTATGATTGGAGTCTTAAAGCATCATTTGCATGGGGCAATGAATTTAATGAAGCAAAGGATTGATTTGAAAAGATTTGATCAAGAATTTAAAGAAGGTCAATAGGTGTTTTTGAAGACAAATCTCTATTGCCTCTAGAAGCACTCAAAAGCTAGGACCGAGGTATTTTGGGCCTTATAAAGTGCTCAAGAGAGTTGGGAAGGCTGCCTATAGACTGGAATTACCTACTAGTTTCATAATTCATTCCACTTTTCATGTTTCTCTCCTCAAGTTATGCCCTGACCTGTTAGTGAAGCAATGACTTCCACTTGATAAATGGTCAGAAATTCTAGAATTATTATTTCCTGAGAAGATACTGAATAAACAAGTGGGAAGAAAGAAAGAAAGAAGTATTACTGAAATGTTAGTTCAATGGAAAGGCTTGCCAAATAAGGAAGCTACATGGCTGTCTCACTTTAAATTTTAGAAGCAGTTTCCAGATTTTCCTCTTGTTGATCCTTGAGGGGAAGTATTAATATGTAAATATTAGAAAATTTAAGAATTCGTTAGGTACAGGGGTATAAATGTTAATTAGGTACAATTATTGTTATTTAGTACTTAATAGTCCAACCTATAAATACCCTACGTCCAGTTATGTGATGGCTGTTGACTTCCATTAATTAGAATGTACTATTCAGAAAGTCTCCTCCAAAGTCTCCTCTATTCTCTTTCTCTTGTCTACCTATCTCTCTTCATCTCTTTCTATCTATCTTAACAGAAGACATATGGATCAAGTCCAAATTCCAACGGAAGGGCATGAAGCAGCAAACTGGAGACAGAGATGCAATCATAAGTTTCAAATTCTGAAGGCACAACAGTTCTCCATTGCCCATAGTAAAACTCCACCTTCACAACCAAAGTTCTTTTGGGAGAAGAACACTCAGCTTTTATTTGAACTAAAAAAGGCTGTTCAAGTTGGAAATATAGACGTGTTTGTTGAGATTTTGGAGCTAGCATGTCGAGAGAAGAACCTACTTTTGTCTGCCATTTTTTACCAAGACACGCTGGCCGGTGATTCACTGCTCCATGAGGCTGCCTATTTTGGAAGAGCAGACATTGCAGGTCTGGTTGGCTTTCACTTTCCTCAACTTCTCACCCATAGAGACATGAAGCTAGGTGATACCCCACTTCATGTTGCAGCAAAAGGAAACAGTTCAGAAGTTATCAGCGTCATTCTCTCCCTGTGTGGTGCATTCGCACAAAAATCAGTATCTTTGGTGGAGAAGATTGAAGCAGATGAGCAGATCATAACAAGATTAGCCAATAAATACGGAAACACAGCTTTGCATGAGGCTGTTTGTAAGAAGAATGTTGATGGGGTCAAACTTCTCTTCCCTGCAGACAGATGTGTAGCTCATTATTTGAACAACTCTGGTCAATCCCCGTTGTATTTGGCAGTTCTGAATGGAAATAAGGAAATAGTTTATGCTCTGTTGGAAGCACCATTTCCGGATGACAAGCTTCTGCTCTCAAACTGCCATGGAATCTCTCCTCTGCATGCTGCCATCGACACAAAAAATGGAGGTTTGTGTGTGCGCGCGCGCGCGCGCGCGTCTACTTTCTTTCCTCTCTAATAGCCTTCAATTAAGGTAATATTAATGCAAATGTGGAAGACATTATATAGCCTTTTTTTCCCTGGAAAATAGTTTTTCTGTCTTTATCAACCTGTTTAAATGGTAGCATTCAGCATCTTTTCTACAATTAGAGAAATAGAATTCAACATTAGATCATATAGGTTACAATTAACTATCTAAAGCATTTTAATTAGCAACGTTATAGCAAGTACCGTTAGCATAAGTCAACATGGGATGCATGATTCTGGATTTCAGCGTTAGGATTCAATTAACTACAGATCTAATACTAGTCTTTGAATGTGCTTACTAACTTTTGCTATTAATGAACACCCTTGACTAGGACTTTTTAGGCTAAGACAAGCAAATCCTTATCAGATTCTTCTGATTATTCAGCAGTAAAAACCAAAGAAAACTCTTCTCAAAAGTCTAACTGAATAATTGAAAGTAGAGAGTAGTGTTCTCTCACTTCAACGTTGATGGAAACCTGAAATACTGATATCATATTAATGCAATAGAAATTAAGTACAACTCTTCCAAGCAGGGAAAAGAGTAAACAGATAAAAAAAAATGATCTAATTCCCTCTGCTATAGCAGAAACGCAATAACGAAACAGTTAAAATTTCATATAGCAATTTATTATGATCGAGCCCGATAAGAGGCCAGCACATCCAAGACAGATATGGGCTCAAGTCAGGGTAACAAATAGAGCATGAGCCCGTGCGTCGTAGCTCAAGGATGAAAAAGAGTACGTGAAAGGTGAGAGAGAATGCAACTACTTAAGGAAGAGGTGGGAGCAGTGGAGAGGCATTGAAGATTGTGGATCATTTTCTGACACTATTTCTCTCTCTTTTCTGTTATTTCCCTTCTGAATATTCTCCCTGTCATTTCAGTTATTTTTCTCCTTTTGAATGTGTACTGCTGTGACTGTGATTAGCTGAATAATACCATAGCAGAGATTGCGTGTTTCATTTCGTTAGATTTCTCGTTCATTCATAACATTTGGTGCTCGCGTCTCCTCCTGCCTTTCAGTCATGGCTGAAGGTACTCGTCTCAAGGAACAAGCGGGTGAGCTGAAACGCTTGTCCGATCGTCTTGATGAACGTGATCGGCATGATGGGAAACGAAACGCTTTTACAGTTAAAAATTCATATAGCAATTCTAAATTGGTATATCTATCTAGAAACCCCATTCCTCTTTCTACAGAGTCCTGGATCATGCCAGGACCCTAGTGCTTAAAGATCAATTGGGATCCCAATCCCTACATTGTATTAACTAAGCTATTTTGGGCTTAGGCCCTCGTCTGTACCAAAGCGGGAAAAAATAAAAGACATTTCTCGCGCAAAGTTTAATTCATATCTTTCAATCCATTGACATTCATAGCAGCCAGTTTTCACTGATTGCAGATTTGATAGAGCAGATAGCAGCGAGAAAACCAGAGCTAATGTATGTGAGAGACGAAGATGGAGGAAATCCTTTACATTATGCAGCATCTTCAGGTTATGTTGAAGGCGCTTGTATCCTATTAAGCAAATCTTCTCTAAGTGCCTTAGAACAGAATGCAAAGGGCCATCTTCCTATTCACCTCGCTTGCAAATGGGGTCATCTTAATGTGGTCAAGGAGTTTCTTGCACAAGAATGGGCAGATGATTCTAGATTATTGCTCAATCGTAAAGGTCAAAATTTGCTTCACCTTGCAGCAAAGAACGGACAACATAATGTGGTGAAATTTTTATTGAGAAACTATAAAAAAATTGACATAAACGAGCAAGACCAAAATGGGAATGCTCCATTGCATTTGGCCTCGAAAAAATCTTTCCCCAACATTCTTTTCTCTTTTACAAGAGATAAGAGAATTGAGGTGAATCTCTTGAACTATAAAGGTTTGACTGCACTGGACATGCTTTTGTTAGAACTGAATCCTGAAGCTCCAATTTCACTAATCCAGGTAAATATACCTACTGTCTTTACCAATTCATAGCATGTCAATAATAGTGATCGTGGTGAAAAATAATGTTACATAACAAATAGTTTTCTAACTACCTTGGATTTTTAAGTACAGATGTAAATTTATTGGATTCGGGACTTGGATTGTACAGATGTTCTAATGCTTTGTCAGTTTTTATCAACATGAAGTTCCTATCAAAAGCCATATTCGATTCAGTGGATGCACTGACAACGGACAAGGGAAGAAGCATGCTTCGTGAACGGAGAAAAGCACCAAAACTGAAATGGATAAAGCGAGGAGCAAACACACTCATGCTAGTGGCTATCCTGATAGTAACAGTGACATTTGCGGCTGGGTTTACTGTGCCTGGCAATGTTTACAGTTCTGATGATACTGATAAAGGGATGGCGGTATTGGGTAAGAGAACCATGTTTAAGATATTTGTGATTTTCAACACAGGAGCCATGTACTGTTCTACACTTGGATCGCTTCTTCTGATGTGGGCACAATTTGGTGACTTCTACTTAGCGAGAAGTGCCTTTTTCTTTGCATTTCATATGGTAGGTTTAGCACTGGTGACAATGAGTCTAGCGTTCGCGGCAGCAGTGCGGCTGGTTGTGACCAATGTGTCATGGCTTGCTGAGCTTGTAACATCCATCGGGGTCATCTTCTTTTCCTTCATTTTAGGTCATTACATTTCAGCAATTTTTCTACTCGGACTCCACGGACATCTACTGGGCCGCCAAGTCAGCAATCTTCTTATTAGGATTTTTATTTTAGTGTATGGAAGAACTCCCAAGATAATGTCTAGGTTCGAAATTTGAGCGTACTTAAAATTGAATTTCACGCCTAATGTTGACTTGTTTTAATTATTTATCAGCCCTAGTTCCAGTTATTACATATTGGCTAGGACCTGTCGACACTTGTATATTTTGCAAGTTCTAGCATCAGTGGGCATCCTTTTTTTGGATTTGTCGTCAGGATTGATGATGTTCTTCTTGCTTACGCAATGTGTTGTTAGGTGCTGCGAACACATCCGCACAGAAAGAGCTCTCTCATTCGCTATGGTTGATATAAGAACTCATGTCTAGATTATATATTTTCGTTGGAAAAAGAGTGACCTCCATCTGAGGATGGCTATTTCAAGATATGGGAGTCCTGGTGTGTATAAGAAGTGATGAGCATTTCAGAAATAAGACGTGCGAAATTAGGAACAATAAGGAAGGAGATGCGATTCATATCTGACCAAGAGACCAACAGAAACATCAAAAGTTTACTTAAATTTTACAACCTATCACGACAGAGCAGGAAGGAGATGGCGATGTAGAAGCCATCGCCGTCGGATGCGACGGCTTTGTCATTGCCTTCTGAACCAATGATCGAAGAAGTCATTGCAAGCTGTTCGCTGATTTGTCGAATTGAGAAGCCAGAACGCACGGGGTCGTGGATTGTCCCACCCGGGTTGAAACTCTGCGTATTAGCCTTTGCTCTAGATTCTAATCTTTTTAAAACTTTAAAAAGTAAGGAGTCCCATTTTCTAGCAATAAGGATTATCGGGCAAAATAGTTTATAAATGAAGAGAACTAATCAGAATTAGGGCACTTGTTGAATGACCATAATGGCAATATGCCTAGAGAATTGATTCCTAAAGATATCCCATGGAGCTGAATGGGAGTAGGTGGACTCGCTAACTTGGGACAAAGAGGCAACAGCTTAGCCACGTTGCTTGCACAATAATCTTTTGTTAACATCCAATATGCTTTTGTTTCAAGTTTTGCTTTTTTGTGCTTCTGAGGTACTCAAATGTACAAGATATTTACCACTTCAATGAGTTGTTAATCAGGACTCTTCAACTATTAATTTATTTTAAATATAAAAAGAAGTGTAAGTTCCTCATAACACAGCAATGATTGGGAATTTGGGATTGGACCGCGGAGGAGCTGAACCACTGCAACTTTATCATTTAATCATATTCCCCGAGTTTCAATTGTGAGGGACTATTGCAAAAATCAGAACACCAGATGATATCAAAACGTGATTTCCTTCAAGAGTAATTTGACAATGGAAATAAGAGGCAACAAAAAACTTTGTGCGTTTTCTATTTCTTTTTTCATGCATTGGAGATCGCAACAATCGACAAATTATAATGCTCTAATGAATCGTAACCGTACACAGCCCAACCAAAACCTTATTTCAAACCAAGTTGGTCTTATCTGAAAAGGACCAACTGATTTCCTTTCACATACTCCACCGCCCCATCATCAGAATAGAAATCCTACGAAGTTCAGAAACCTAACATTCTACCACAAAAAGAAACAATCAAGCCACCTCCCCTTTTTTTCTTTTTTCTTTTTTTTGGGCAATCAAATCTCCCGGACAGCTCAGTACCTGTAGTGAGCAGGCTTGTATGGACCCTCAATGGGCACGCTGATGTAGTCAGCCTGATCTTTGGTGAGCTTAGTAAGCCTAGCTCCGAGCTTGCCAAGATGAAGAGCAGCAACCTTCTCATCCAGGTGCTTGGGCAAGACATAAACCTTCTTCTCATACTTGCCAGTTGCCTTCTCCTTCCACAACTCCAGCTGAGCAATGACTTGGTTGGTGAACGAGCAGGACATCACAAAGCTAGGGTGACCTGTGGCACAACCCAAGTTCATCAAACGACCCTCAGCCAATACAATGACGCCTCTTTTAGTGTCAGGGAAGACCCATCTGTCAGTTTGAGGTTTAATGGTGATGCGCTTCACACCAGGGTATGTCTCAAGCCCTAGCATATCAATTTCATTGTCGAAGTGGCCAATATTGCAAACAATAGCATTGTTCTTCATTTTCCTCATATCAGAAACCATGATAATGTCTTTGTTCCCAGTGGTGGTAACAAAGATGTCAGCCTCGGAAACAACATCATCCAGGGTCAGAACTTGCAAACCTTCCATGAGAGCTTGAAGGGCACAAATGGGATCAATCTCGGTCACAATCACACGAGCTCCAGCCTGCTTCAAGGCAGAAGCACAACCCTTACCAACATCTCCATACCCACATACAACAGCAACCTTCCCAGCAATCATGACATCAGTGGCTCTCATCAATCCATCAGGAAGAGAGTGACGACAACCATACAAGTTATCAAACTGTCATCAGGCAGATTAAATCAAAAAATTAGTTGAAACAGAAAACGACAAACATGAAGCAAATTACATTTAGGACCGGACACAAGAAGCCCATAGCCCCATAGTAACAAATTAGCAATAGTAATCTAATGGTAAACATTTAAACCCTTCTTGCTATCATGAATCCCTTCGAAAGAACAAGAACTTAATCAATTGTTAGCCCTCAATATGCAAATCAGAAAGTATATCAACAAATACATGACAGAAAGCCACTTACATGTAAAGACGTCAATTGAATTTATACATTTTACATACTACTTTCAACATAAATATCAAACACAATATACATTTGAGATCCAATCAGTCAACTGTATATTGCTTTCCCGTCAATTTATCATACTGTTAATACCTAATTTCTGCTATGCCTAAGAAACCTCAGCAATTTGTCAGCCGCAAATGGATTTATCATACAGTTAACACGCCCGAGCTCAGAATAGATATAATCTCCCAACAAGAAATGAATAGAATCAGGAAATGCATAAGGCCTAGACATCGTCAGATCCGAAAAATTCAATGATGCAACCAGTTTGTGTATTAACGTACCAAAAACACGAAATCCCAGATATAAGTCAAATGTATCAGAATCAAGGAATGGGATCTAGAAGAGCTCACCTTGCTCTTGGTAACAGAGTCGTTAACATTGATAGCAGGGAACAACAAGGTGCCATTAGCCTGCATCTGGTATAGCCTCTTGACACCAGTAGTGGTCTCCTCCGACACACCGACGAGTCTCTCCTTCATTTTGTGGTACCTCTTGGGATCAGTCTTCAACCCATCCCTGATGATGGTGAGAACAATCTGAAACTCGGCATTGTCCGTAGACGCCGGATCGGGCAACTGGCCAGTCTTCACGTAGGCCTCTTCGGCCTTAACACCCTCGTGGATCAAAAGAGTAGCATCACCGCCATCATCGACAATGAGATCTGGCCCACCGCCCGGACCCCAATCCAGGGCACGCTCGGTGCACCACCAGTACTCCTGAAGCGTCTCCCCCTTCCAGGCGAAGACGGACGCGCTATCTCTGGCAATAGCGGCGGCGGCATGGTCCTGAGTGGAAAAAATGTTGCAGGAACACCAACGGACCTCGGCACCGAGAGCAGTGAGGGTCTCAATGAGTACGGCGGTTTGAATGGTCATGTGAAGCGAACCGGTGATTTTGGCACCCTTGAAAGGTTGGGAAGGGCCGAATTCAGTACGGCAGGCCATGAGACCGGGCATTTCGACCTCGGCGAGGTCAATCTCAAGGCGACCAAAGTCGGCCTGAGACAGGTCCTTGACCTTGTACTCGCGGCCAGCTGTGGTTTTGTCAACTAGCAAAGACATGGCTGCACAGAGAAAGAGATGAGAACCGAGAGATGGAAGGGAATGGTATATGCAATCTCAGTGTCCCGGGGTGAAGAGGAAGTGAGGGGGCTCAGGGCGAGGAGAATGGAGCGAGTGAGCAAAGTATAAATAAGGCTGGCAGCCTGGCACAGTCCCCATGGACGGTAGGCGGGTAGGGCCCTTGACCACCCCCCCCTTTTTTTTTTTTTTTGAATAATACTGAATGCATTGCTGTTACGGTACAAACAAAAAGGCACCACAAAAACGATTGTTCATCCACCTCCTCTAGCTTGATCCGGTTTCTAGGCAAGAAGTTAGGCTTGCGTTATATATTTCTTTTCTTGCACCCTTTAAATTAATATATATATATATATATATATAGGTACTCATATTCTTGACAGGGTCATAGGCAATTGTTTGTCGGAAATAAAACGAGGCTGTATAACTGAGTAAACGATCCTTGGCTTTTGGCAGAGAAGGTGCTTCCAGGGAACAGAGGGCCTTTTACTTTGGCGAAAAAATACACATGTCGTTTATTTGCTCGTTGTCCTACTTATTCGTTCGTTTTTAGCTTGTACTTTAAATTTATCGTTGTCAAATCAGACCTGTGTCTCATTGAAACTTTTGGGTCAAATTATTTAAATTAATATGGTAAATAATAAATAGTCTAGTGGGGAGAACTATTATCACGCTGACGGCTGACGATTAGGGATTGAGGGCTGAGGCCGTGGCGTGGTACATTTTGTCAATAACATTCTATAAGTAATTTAGCAATGTAAGCATTCTTAATTATGGTTTAATATTCCCATTGAAATGTTAATTTTTTTGGTTGATTTATTTCCTTATGTTTTCAATTTTGAAACTAAATCAACAGTACCAGTATAGAATGTTCGCTGAAATTTAAGATTTTCTTAAACTTAATGCGATATATTTTTCTTCTTCATCGCCATTAAATGAGGTAAAAAGAAATGACTAATATGTGTAACGTTAACATCTGTGTGAAACACAACCACGCATTATGCATCAATGTTCAAAAAAGTATACGAATGACTAGTATATTTAGAGTAAAAAGAGGCACGTGAAGTGGTACTAATAATAGCATAGCATTTGGTTGATTTCGGATTTGGTCAGCATTGCTTGCACTGAAGTGAACATGTAAGAAATCAATTTAAAATTCCGTAGTCCACCTCATCAAGTTTAAACTTTAATGACCAGAACAGTATTCATTATCGATGCCACTGCCTGACGTCCTAAATTAAAGCAGTATCGAGTGAGTAAAATCAATTCTGCTATAATCGCTTGAATGTACTTTCCATCTTAGATTGACCCATTTTCATGCAACATTGGTAGAGGCAGGTAGTTACATATCTTAAATTTGATTTAATTATTTATTGTAATCGAGTTTCCACAGAATATCATAATATGCGGCAACAACCAGGGGGAAAAAGAAGAATCAACAACAGTGAAGGCGACGGCCGACGCGGGGGTTTGGTGAGATTGTGATTTGGGAAATTAGAGACGCAGCCAGCACCACCAATTTCGTCCAGTCTATAAGGCGTTGAAGCAACCCACGTAAGGACTCGCTAGGTCAAATTATATTATGTTAAAATTAATTAATTATTTAATTACTACCTGTTAAAATTAATGAATTGCATCAAGTCAAAATTTTAAAATTGAATTATACAATCAAATCAATTTAAGTGGGTAAAGTTATATTAAGTTAAAGTTTAGATGTTAAGTTATAAT